AAAGCAATACACTGTGAAATCACCCGAACTCCTTTACTGTGAAGCCATGCTGTTGTAATAGATGCACTTTAGCACTGACTTGCTCAAATATGCAAGGATGAAGAAGACAGCTTCTTGATGGGAACACATGTTAATCTAAAACCTACCTTTCAAAGCTGTTGGTGTCTTTCCAGATGAACATGCTGCCCAGCATAGGCACTAATGCATTCCTTATACCATTAGAGATGAGAGAGGCTTTTGAACTGAGAGCTGCTAATAAGTCAGGTGGTCTCTTTAGTCCGGTGTGGCTTTGAAAAAAGAATTTCAAATTTAAATTTGTCTGATCACAGAACAGTTTGTCACTTTGCCTCAGTCCACTTCAATTGAGCATAGGCTCGGGGAAGATGGCAGCATTTCTGGATCATCTTCACATATGGCTTTTTTTCTTTCTTTTTTGCATGATTGCACTTTAATCTGTATTTGTGGATGCCACAGTGAGCTGATTTCACAGGCAGTAATTTCTGGAAGTGTTCTTGAGTCCATGCAGTAATTACCACAACAGAGTCATGGCTGTTCTTAATGCAGTACTACCTGATGTTCAGCCGTGTCTCTTATACACGTAGACATTTATCCAGGCTATGAATCTTTCATAATATTATGTACTACAGATAATGAGATATTTAAAGTAATATAAATTTTGTATTGAAGATTTTGTTCTTATTCCACAGTTTGCTAATATTGTTTTTGCCGATGGGTGAACCAATAATTTTGAGTAGCTCTGCCTCTAAAAGATACTCTTTTGACAGATTACTGACCCGTTTCTAGTTCATCTAAATGTTAAAATTGGAGTACTTACTTTTCCAGCCTTCTGAACTGTGTTTGGGAGATGAAGCTGCCTTTAAATCAAAGTGAGTTAACGTTTTTCATGAAATAGTAAACGGTCTCAATTAAAACATTTCATATGTTTTGTATGCTGTATTGTGAATATAACAATGTTGTGCATTCTTATTTTTACACAGCATTAAAAAAAAATTTTCAGAACAGGGGTTGTAGAGAGACCCCAAAGACAACACCCTGCATCAACTCTAATAGTGATCATAACTTACAAAATAAGCATCACACTGTATTCATTAAGACATGATTTCTCTGACGTCATCAAAGGCTGAAGGGTGATTTTCCCAACAGGCTGCTATGCTTTCCAGCGTTTGCAGTCAGAGAAGTCACCCCCACCGGCCATTGGAAAGAATACAATTTTAAGGCACTTTGGTACATTGTCTTTTATATACAATCCATAGGTAGCGTGATAGCTCCCAAAATATCAGCATAGTTTAAATAGCATGGACCCCTGTGAGTAAATGCTATCTCAATAAGCTGTTAGCATAGCTTTAGACCTTTAGTCTTCAATAAAATACAACCTACTATATGCATTATCTTTAAATAGTTTACATGAAGTGGAGGAGAATAAAACAACAGCTTAAAAGTTTGGAAGAAAAACAGCACAAAGTAAAGGTACTTCTCATTCAAATGCAAATTGAAGTCTAAAACAACCTTGTTCTAAATTAGCTTTTGCTATCAATTGATTGCTTCCCTGTAGAATTGTGAGTATTTTCTTCTGTTTTTACACTTACGCTGTTTTGGACCCAGACTGCCAGCCTAGAAAGCAAACCTGGGAAATCATGTAAAATTCGGAAAGGGCCGGGATAACTCTTTAGATGGGCAATGTGAGGTTCAAAACACATTTCTGTGAGCACCGTGTTACAGTTAGCTGTGATGTGTCACACTGAAGTCTCTGTGGTGTGTGGTGAGAGGTCTTTAAGGGGACAGTATACCCCATAGTAAAACTTTTAGAAAAGTGATTTCACAGCGAGATGTTCACTGGATGTTGAAGGTTTGAAAAAAGTAGTACCTGTGGCCTGTGTTCATATTTAATAATCCTGAAATATGTGTGGTTTGTTTTCTCCCCCAGCATTGGGCTTAATCTTATGATGTAGACACACACCTTGCTATCAGAGGATTTTCTGCTGTCTTGTGATCCTGACTTTGAAGACTACGCTGGACCTCGATATGTTTTATTTGAAGACAGCATCCGGGGACACTTCAACGTTATTAAATTTAGTTAGATGTGATGGCACGACAACCGATTAACAGAAGCAAATGTTTGATCTTCACTTTGAGGGAATCACATCTTTTACCTCCTTTGAAGTTCGCGTTCCTGCTGTTATTCACATTTTTCCGGTGATCTAGAGAGCACTTAGTGAGAGGGTGCAACCTAAATAACTCAGCATGCTGCAGAAGAGAAAATCCACAGGTTTGAAGCTGTGACTCATGACTTCCTGTCATACACCCCCTGTTTACCGTCAGTCCGCAATATTGAAATAAGTGCTAAAAGCAAGTGAAATATCCCTTCACCTTGACCTTTGCGCGCCCACCTTTGATTAAAGGGCAACAGGAGCACATGAGAAACCACCCAACTAAATTCGTGGCTCCTCATCTTTGCGGCAGCACACCATGCAGTGTAATGTGCCTGATTAGTCACCTGTTTCAGTATGTAACGATAACAGATATCACTGAGATAAAGAACCGATATCAGTAAGATAAAAGAAAATCATTAGTCAGCCAAACATATATGCGTCCTTTGCTGATATTTTGCAAACGACTGATAGCAGGAATTAAAACAAATTCTGTTGTGCACACACAGGAAATACCTCAACCTTAACAGCATCAATGTTGACACGATAAACACTCACACGCAAGCACAAAGCCACACTGATGAAAAAACAGCATGTGGACTGTGACAACTCAGATCATGAGAAACTTTGCAGTGTCTGTGTGTGTGTGAAAGACAAAAAACGAGCCTCACGCGTGCAAAAGGGATCCCACTCACGTCATTTCCAGAAAAGAAAGTTGTTTCTCTTTGAGAACGTGCCAGTGGAAGTGGCAGCAAATAAAGGGCCTCACTTATGCTTATAGCAGCATATAGGAGGAACACTCACACAATGATTTCCATCATTAGCATGTAAATATATATGCACATTTACCTTACTTCTGCAATGCTGTTTCTTCTATGAATGCATGCACAATTATTCTCCTTTAAAGTCACTAAAGTTATATGCATATGGATGAACCCATTGCGCCTTGACTCTACAAATAAGTGGGAAATTAGGAAAAAGTTGTTAGGTTTTACAATGACAGTTAAGGTACATGCACAATGTGTCAGGTGCAGCTTTCTTTCTGTTTTGACACCCTTTTTTTTTTAGCCAGTCTGAACAGCAAACTAAAGTTAACTTGATCTGAATTGATCTAAATTAGACCTTTTGATTCAAATGCCAATCTCATCACTCTTATAAGGTCAAACCTTTCCTGACGTTGTGACTTGTGTGAGCCCAGAATCTCGACAAATAAAAAGGTGAATTTAATATACTGTCATGTGGCCACCGTTGTACGCGTATTAAATCCAAAAATTTCATGTGAAACATCAGGATGCGCTCAGACAAGGGAGCTCTGGCACCAGCACGACACAGTTTATATAACTGTGCCTGCCTGCTTTGCACACACTCAGGAAATACAACAACTGCAACATGCAAGTGAGGCGCACATTCAAATAACATCAGGTAGACATTTGGTTATGAAACTGGCGTGATGAGAAGCAGAGTGGGCTGTGTGGTTTTGTTGCAAGTGTGCATCAAAATATTGTGTGACCTTTCAGTTGGGACATTTTGCATGTGATTTGCATTCCTTTAACATTTCAGATTGCGTGAGCGAAGAGTCTACATCTCTACTGAATGCGATATTTGGTATTTTACACCGGCTTTTATTCTGAGCATACTATGCGGCGTTACATGTCCATTAATATAACATAGACTCTGCAGGTTTCTCCTTCTGTTTAAGTTCTGCCACTCTTTTTCTAACTTTGTCTTTGGCCATCATCTTGTATATGTTCTCGGTTTGACTGCTTGGTAATCAGGAGTACTTTGCATAGCAACAGCAGAAACACACTCAACCACAACATCTTTAACTTGCATTGGATGTAACCTGGATTTATACTAATGACCTCAGCTGTTTTCTTTTCCCCCCATGTTGACTGGCAAAAGTGCACGTCTGCAGGAAAATCCCTCAGTAAGCTTTAAGCTGCAACTCAAAGGGAAAAGGAAAGGAAGACACACACAGCTGCTCTGATTGCTGAAACTCGGCAGCAGACATCCACTGGTCTGTGTCCATCATTTCCAGGGAAAGGCGATGTTTCACAAACAATCCAGAAGCAGAATAAATGGGGGGGCTTAGCTTACACCAAGATCCAGCGTGGCGTTCCTATCGGCCACCCACAAGTTCATAAAGAAAGAAAAAGCAAACAAAAAAAGCTTTACTTGTAGCTCACATAATTTGATTCATAGCAAATGAATAATTTCAAACTTTCAGAACCCATTACCATTTTTACTAATGGTTTACCAGCATTTTATGTGGATCATGCCACATGTAATGATCCATCACCTCAAACTATTTCTAAATTGTATTTAAATTCGATTAAATTTCCTTAACCTGCTAAGTCAAATGGTCAAAGTGTTGAGCAAAGGTTTTTATTATAACTGACTTTGCTTATTAAATGTACTTTACTATGTTATGGTTTGCACACACACACACACACACACACACACACACACAAATTCAGCCTAATCGGCTTACAGTAATTACTGTAAATTAAAATAACGCATTCAAAGTCTGACTGCATAATTTGAATTTACAATAATTACTGTAATGGCGCACTTATTGGCTCTGTGTTTGTATTTTCCGAGCCCAGCAGTCTAAAGTGCTCCGTGAGCAGCAGAGACCGCGCGGCTGACGAACACCAGTTGCTTTCTGTTTCTGTTCCTGTCGGAGCCGCGCGCGCAGCCGCTCTGTGGAGAGAGCCCGCGAGCTACGAGCCCGGCAGAGGGAAACATCACGTGGTGACACATCTTTACGACTGACGTCACCGTCCCCATCTCCAAGCAACCCCTCCATCAGCACTCGCGTCACCGTGCGCCCGAGCCGCGCGGTTGCCCAGCAACCCTTTCCTTGCGCTCGGGTCCGGCCTTGCCTTGCACCCAGCTCGAAGCTCTGACGCGGGTGTGACGTTAATAAGGTGGGTATCAATTTGTTATGGTGGCGAGGAGAGGAGGGAGGAGGAGGAGGAGGAGGAGGAGGAGTTCCCCCTGTGAGTGCCGAAGCCCTCAGCTCTGCATTCCGGCGGAGCTTACAGGCACACACACCGGCCGCAGCCTGGTCCCGGCCTCAAGACTTGTTGTAGAAAGTCAAAGGAAAAAGTTACCCCGCGCGTGTTGCCCGCAGTTTTTCCTTTTTGTCTCGTTGTTTATCCGGAGCTCTGTTTGTGGAATGGTTGACGTTTCGTCCGAGAGCTGCCTGAAGTGTGAGAGAAGGTGGTTATTATCGTTGTAAGGTAGGAATTACTCTCGATAACTCACATTTTACTGGCTCATTGTCACTTAATAGAAAAACTGGTAATTTTACAACTCAGCCAAAGTCTCTTTCTCTCTGCCTCTCTCTCTCTCTCTCTCTTTTTTAGTTTTCTACATGTATATATATACTATTTTTTTACGTATTATTCAGCCTCTTTTTCTTAATGGTCGTGAAAGTGTCGCTTTTTCTTATAGGTTAGTGAAACCTATTTGTGTAGATCTCTTTGTACCCAATGAATGAATATCAGCGGGCTTGTTTATATATATTACACGTATTTGTACACCTGTAACGAGATTGTAGTCGTATTTCCAGCTTAACTCGTTTATTACACCAACAATGTTTCGATAAAGTGATCATATAATAATTTTAATTCGTCTGTGTTTTCACACAGTCAGGACCAAATGCTCGTTACACGCGGAACAAAAGCTTCTAGCAAGTGAATTTTTACACAAATGCAATAAAATGAGTAATGTGCACCGCTGTCTCTGCAGGTTCGTTTATCACAGTGTTGTAACCCCAGTCTGTTGGTACGCCATGGTAATCATGACAGAAACCAACCGGGGAGCTCAGTCGAGCCCTGCCCAGGGGAGGCCGCTGCAGGTCGGCTTCTATGAAATCATCCGGACCCTGGGGAAAGGGAACTTTGCAGTGGTGAAACTGGCCAGGCACAAAGTCACTAAAACACAGGTCAGCTGCTTTAATATCATTGTTAATATTATTAATTTCTACTTGCAGCTTTTTTTCTGGCCTTTCTTTTGAAATTTGCAATTTTTAACCACGATTCCCCCCCCCCCCTTTTTTTTTTTAAGGTGGCAATCAAGATTATCGATAAAACCAGGTTGAATCCTTCCAACCTCGAAAAGATCTACAGAGAGGTGCAGATAATGAAGCTGTTGAACCACCCTCATATCATCAAGCTCTACCAGGTGTGTATTGTGGCTAACCTCTCTCTGCTCTCTGAAATGTCGTTGTGTGCAGTGCAGAATGCTGCGTGTGTAATTCAACCTGTGTTACGCCCTCACGGTAGCCGGACTGTATGCTGGTCTGCAGGGAGCTGGTCTAAATGCATGCATGAGCATTTGAGTAAAATGCTCTGGTGTGGAAGGAAGCCTTTGCAAATTGAGGAAAAAAATATTTTCCCTTAAACAGCACTGGTGCGCTGCAGAGCACTGCCTTTAAGGACCATTTGTTGCCTGGTTTTAACCAGCTTGCCGATTCTCAGAGTATACTGAGTCATAAGTACTGCAGAACAGCATTAGTGCAATCCCCTTTGACCTCCCTGTATGCGTATGTGTGCTTGTTAGAGAGAGAACAGTCATCGGTACCAGCCGCTGCTAAGAGCATTGCATTTCTAAGATTTCTTCAGTTGTTTGAAGGAAGAGGTGATGGCAGAGATATGGGAAACAGAGCAGGCAGGCGACTAATTACCAAAACATCCACAGGTCTGGACTTTAAGCCTAATTAGCACCTGTTTAAACCACTGCAATGTGTGTGCATGTCACGTGAAGGCTACCCCACAGCAAAGCGCTGCTTTACTGCTAATCAAATTGAAGACTTAGTCGAAAGAATCCGCTTTTCCCCCCTCAGTTGACCTCGCAAGCACCGCGGCACGCGTCTGGCAACAAACACACAAACACACACCCATGCAAACAGACACACAATGCCCTTTCTCTTTTTTTTCATTCTGGATTTTTTTTCTGCCTTTTGCTTTGTTCTCTGTTGTTTGCTACTTTTCAAGATTCGTTTGTATCTGGTTTTAAATGGCTGAGCAGCTCTTACCATGAAATCATGTCTAGACTGCAGAAACAAGGGGATAATATTATTCCTAGGAATTTCTATAAGAGAAAAAACGTAATAAAGAAATCGAACATCATAGATGTCCACTATTTTTTTTTTTTTTTTTACATTTAGAAACCTCCTTCTATTCATCTCACAAGACCACACAGACATTTTTAATGCTTCACACTGATGGTACAAACAATTCAAAGAGGATATCAAAATTTTTCATATGTTAAAAAGAAAAAGAAACATCCAACCACTCAACAAATTAACCATAATGCAGACAGAAAAATGCATCACTTAAGATGTGTAAGCACAAATAAAATAGAAATTGAAATCCCCAGTACATGATCGTCTCTTCTGACACACACCAATATGCAAAATAGTTTAAAGGCATTCATGCTTTATACATTATTCAGATGCGTCAAGTGAGTGTAAAGACAGATTAACCATGAAAGAAGCCTAACACTTCTGTTAGATTATGTGGAAAAAACATGAGATGGAATTCATTAATTTAAAAGATAGAATGATAATTTAAAAAAAACAATTTTATTTAAAAGACCATTTTTGATCTGACAGTCTTTGTTTTGTGATAGAGCGAGATGATAATCTGTAGGTTTGTGGTGTTGTATCACTGCTGTGCTGTCTGTCCTCTGTCCCTTGTTAATTTCTTCCTGGCCTTGGGTTGTTCAAGGTGATGTTAGTCAGATGGTTGTTAGCAACCCTCGTCACCTCCTCTTTCTCCTTCCTGCACAAAGGGAGGGTACTGACATAAGACCATCTTGTGATCTGTAGATTACATCCTCTAGTATCCCTGCAGTTTTTTGGGAGACCTCACGATAAATCAGCTGCTGCTTACACTTTGTTTTTGTCTCACGGGAACCAAAACAATTCCTCTAAACTGAAAGGTCATTGAAGTCTCTCTCCCGCTCATTGTTTGTTTGCATAAACCGCCCGTCTTATCGCTTTAAATTCCACTGGAATCTCATGGATTTTTTTCTTTATTTAATTTTATGCTCCCATTATGCAGCTTTTAGCAACCTTAAATTGACCTTATGGAAAATGAGGAGTCCAATATGGATGTTAAAGGTTTTATCTTTATTCGGGGGTGACTGGGGGCCCTTGACGCGCCATGGCTGTTCTTCGCAACAGTGACGTCAGCTGCACCTCAAGGTGACAGGGAGCTGCCCTATCTCGCAGATAAAGACTTGTGCCCGCTTGGGGACCTTGGTGTATTGAATCGCCGTTGTCTGGTTTTCTAAAGGACCCGGTGGCTGAAAAGAATTAAGCTCCGCCATTCACTGGAATTTGGTGACATTCAATTTAGGAGTTGGCCAGCAGCTTTATCCAGACAGGACTTTGTCATCTGACGATAATTGCTTTGTTGTGCAACCTTTTTAGCTCAACTGCTCTGTCCCTGAGGGCTCTCATGGGAAACGGAGGCCTTGTGTGAGCTCCAGGAAAGAACCGGGAATTACGTCTTTCCGTCCCACAAAGTGCATTGAGCTCTGAGTGATTGCACTTTGAGTGTTTCTGATACACCATGTGAACAGCCCATGTGAATGTGCCCCGCTCTGTTTTCATAGATATAAAGAGATAGGGGGAAGCTTGAAATTCAACACTAGCATCCACTGCCAGCTGGTATCAGCCTCAAGAAAAACATTCCCAAGCATTGGATCAGCTGGTTTGAGTCTGAATGTTACGCATTCCTTTTTGGGTCTGTATTGACGTGTGTAAACGGGTTTCAAGACATGAGGAAAATGCGCGCGGGAAGTCACTGACGGTTTACTTATGCAACAGGGCATATAATGGAAAACAGGGTGTTGGTGTTTCTTTTAATTTTATGTGTATGGAGACATTTGCAAATGAGGAATGTGGTGGTTATAAATGCTGGAATGTGCTACGATGAAACACTGGGAACGACTTGAACTTTGAAATATGGTTATCAATGACACAGTTACACTCATTGTTTTTTTTCTCTTTTTCTCTCTTAGGTCATGGAGACCAAAGACATGCTGTATATTGTGACAGAGTATGCAAAGAATGGAGAGATGTTTGGTGAGTGAAGCCTTAAGCCTTTTCATTTGCATTCACAAAGGTACATAGCACACCCAGAAACACAGAGGTTAATTTTAACCCTCCATGACAATTAAAAGGCCACTGGCAAAATAAAAGCATGGAAAAAGGAAGTAACCTCATAATAGACCCTCCTAAGAGTCTGATCCTGATAGTCTGGATCCTCTCTCCCTGCAGACCACCTAACCTCAAATGGCCGCTTGAGTGAAGATGAAGCACGAAAGAAGTTCTGGCAGATCCTCGCCGCGGTGGACTACTGCCATCGGCACCACATCGTTCACCGTGACCTAAAAACTGAGAACCTGTTGCTGGATGCCAACATGAATATCAAACTGGCCGGTAGGTCGATCATATTCTTAGTGTTGGCTGGTGATAAGATGCAGTGTTAATGGTTTTTAATGCAACAACGTCCTTCTGTACCTACTTGCTGTTTCTGTATTCTGTTCAGTTTACGCCTGAAGAACGTATTTGGTGCTCTGGGATTCTAATTAAATCATTGTTGTGCCATCTATGTGCTAATTAAATGTTAATTATTCACCCATTTTACTAAGACAAGCATCAACCAGAGGAAATGAGCTCAGCACACAATCACACGCTTTTACATGAAGAAACTGTAGAACCAAATTATCAGAAACAGGAAAACAGTCAGTCTTTTGTATGAGAAGATATGTTAACCCGAGCTTACTTTGAAGTGTTGATGAATATCTCATGATGATAAATTACGTAACACACCATGAACAGTACTAAATCTGCGCTATAGGGCCTGCAGCACTTCAAGCTGGAATGGAAAGCAAACAAGTTTGATTAAAAAAAGTTGTTCTACACTTGTGTCTGTGTGCAGACTTTGGATTTGGAAACTTCTACAATGCAGGGGAGCCTCTGTCTACATGGTGTGGCAGCCCGCCTTATGCTGCCCCTGAAGTGTTTGAAGGGAAGGAGTATGAGGGGCCTCAGCTGGATATTTGGGTAAGCTCCGGGAATGTAATACGGCATTACTGACAGAGGAAGCGATGACATTTACATAATCGTGATTACATTCTCCTTTTTGCTCTTTGCTTCGCAGAGTCTCGGTGTCGTGCTTTATGTCCTCGTCTGCGGCTCTCTTCCGTTCGACGGAGCCAGCCTTCCCGCGCTCCGGCAGAGAGTCACCGAGGGACGATTCAGAATCCCTTTCTTTATGTCACAAGGTATAAATTATCCCAACAACAGTTACCGCAAATTACTAAAACGGTGTAAACTACATACAGAGACTCATTCACTGTTTGCGTACTTTAGACTGTGAGAATCTGATCCGTAAAATGCTGGTGGTGGATCCAGCCAAAAGGATCAGCATTGCTCAGATCAAGCAACACCGCTGGATGATGGCGGATCCGTCAGCTGCCCACCAGATCCTCAGCCATCCCCTCACGGAGTACAATTCCAACCTGGGCGACTACAGCGAACCCGTGCTGGGCATCATGAACACACTGGGCATCGACCGTCAGAGGACTATCGAGGTGACTGAACAAGAATCAAAATGTGTTTAGTGGTTTTATGAAAGTATTGCAGTCACAGTAAAAATACTCAGTTTACGGGTTTACAGGCAGCGGGTAGGCTGCAGCTAAGTTTTCGTTCTCTCTTAAGTTGAACCTACATTGTATTCCTTCAAAGACCTTATTCTGTATTTAAATATAGATTTCTCACTCTGTCATCTTCAAATATATAAATGCAGATATATGCAGCTATATTTGTCTTTCCCTTAAAAGTTTTAAAGAGGTGCTAAAGAAAGCTATAAAGAGAGAGCACTGGTTATAAACTGTCATTACAAGCCACAGAAAGTAAACAAAATGGCAAAATGACTAATCTTCTGACCTTATCTTCAGTCTCTGCAGAGCAGCAGCTACAACCACTTCTCTGCCATCTACTACCTGCTGCTGGAGCGAGTGCGGGAGCATCGTGCACAGCAGCTGAGCCGCCAGTGTGGAACATGGAGCCAGAGACCAAGGAGCACCTCTGACTCCACAAGCCCAGAGGTCAGCACTATAGCTGCATGTAGCTGACTATCAATCTCCATTCTTATTTGCATGAAGTTTAATAATCTCTGTGCTTTCTGCTTCCTTCTAGGTGATCATGGAGTCCACTGAGAGTTTTAGAACAACAGCGTTTTCACTTCCAACCAAAAACACCCCCCCTGTGTACTCAGAGGTAGAGTGTGACCAAGCTGGATTGTTTCAGGTAAATTTCTTAAATAGCACGCTCTCTTGCATCTATATTAATAGACCAAATGCAAAAGCTGCACCCTGCCCTGCTAGCAGTCAGTGGCTAACAGTCAACCTCCTTCCTTTTCAGCGTGTAGTGTTTCCAGTGGAGGCCAGTCTGAACAGATTGCTCTGGAACCGCTCCATTTCACCCAACAGCCTGCTGGAGACAAGCATCAGCGAAGAGGTGCGACCCAGAGACCTGGAGGAGGAGGAGGCGACGCAAACTCTTGGGCCCCTGCTCCCTCCAACCACCACCTCTCGCAGACACACTCTGGCTGAGGTCTCCGCCCGTTTCCACCAGTGCAACCCTCCATGTTAGTATAATATGCATGCGCACGCATGTTCTTCATTCTTGTAGCGATGCAGAGTCTTGACCTCTCCTGTTTTTTTTAGGTATCGTGGTCAGCCCCTCAGACGGTGCCTCCTCTGACAGCTGCCTGAAGTCTTCTTCCAGTCCTGCCCCCACTTTGCAAGCTGCTGTAGGTGGGGTGGCAACACTTCGGGCCTCGGGGGCTGAGGGAGGAGCTCTGCTGTCTGCTGGAGCTCCCCTGGCTCTCTCTTCCCACCTCCTGCCCCAGGCCCAGGGCAGCCTGCCCCCTGCCAGCTTCCAGGAGGGTCGCAGAGCCTCTGACACCTCCCTCACACAAGGTACACATGCATGATCGTGAAATCATTTCCTGTATGCCACCTGCCTAAGCTGGTATTCAGGTTTTCTCACACGTACCATGTAGTAGGATCAACGCTGCATAACAGTTTCCCATGCCTTCACGCAGGCCTCAAAGCTTTCCGCCAGCAGCTGAGGAAAAACACGCGCACTAAAGGACTTCTGGGATTGAATAAGATCAAGGGTCTGACGAGGCAGGCTGCCCCATCACCCTCCTGTAACCGCGGTAGCCGGGGGTCACTGGGTCCAGCTCTCTCTGAGCACCGCAGCATGCTGGAGGAGGTGCTGCACCAGCAAAGGTGAGTCACATTATTGCAGGAGCACAAAGCATTATGGGATTGTTAATTTCATAAACTACAAACAATTGAACCCCAAGTCGAGCTGTTGATAACAAATCTCATCTCATTTCCCAGAATGCTGCAGATTAAGCACCAACCACAGCCTCAGGTCCAAGCCCCTCAGACAGGACCTCAACAGAAGCCCCTGCTCTTCTTGGCACACCAACAGTCACCATCTCCTCCGCCTACTACCGTGTTTGCTTCCTCCTCCATGTTTGACAACCCTGCTCAACCCGTCCTGCCTGCTCAGCAGGCTTCAGTGGGTCTGCAGCAGGGTCCCTGGCAACAGACCCTCAAGACCTCCGCCACAGGCTGCTCATCCTCACCCTGCTACTCCTCTTCTCTGTCCCCCGTGGCCTCTGCTGCCTACCTTCTCGAGGCACGTCTACACATCAGCCAGCAACCCCACCCTAACCACCACACTGGCCTCCGTCAACAGTCTGCAGCACAAGGCAATTTCCCCATCCTGTCCAAATCAGCCATGTGGAGGATGGGCTCGGTCTCCAGCACAGACCTCGACATGCAGGAGCTGGGTATGTCTGGACAGCAGCAGCAGCAGCAGCTCAGCAGCTGTGTGATGGTGAAGTAAATCATCGGCCAAGCGAGACCGGCGAATGTTCTCTTGGTGGAAGAGCCAAAAAAGACTTGATGCTGAGCGCAGAAGAAAAGAGAGCAGAAGTGAAGAACAACAAAAAAAGCAGACGCAAGTGACGAATTTGTCTTTATGGGGTACACGTGAGAATGTGTCTGCACACGTGTTCGCTGTGTGTATGTGTTTTTTCTAATCGTATAAGCTAAAGACTAAGCAATAAACCAAACTCTGGATGAAGTGTTCGATTCGTAACAGCCAGAGAAGCAATAACAGACTGACAGACTCTCCTCGGCTCCGATGGACTCACTTGAATAGCTGACGTTGCTGAGTCACTCTCACATTTTTATGCTGTCTAGATTTACTTTTTGATCTTTTTTTTAACAGGAAAGTTCGCTCTTCCATTTTTTCCTGTTTGTTTTTTTTTTTGCCACTTGTGTAAGCGCTCTCAGTGTTTTTCACTTGCCTGGACAGAAGACCAAAATTCATATTATTTTCAGTCTCCCCACTTTGTTCACCTTCCTGAAGAGACATTTCTCTGTAGCAGTGCAGTGAACACGCAGTATAGTAACCTAAGCTTACTCACACCGAAGGAGACGATTTTTATTTTTACTGAAACTGTGATTTTTTTTTTCCCCCGTTTGTTTTTTCTGTGCAAGATTGTTAATTTTAGTGACGCAAAACGCTGCTTTTACCTCAAGCTGCAAAAAGACTGCTACACCCTCATCAGTCAAAACTGAGCGAAGACGGTGTTTCGCTGGTTGAGTTAAAGCACAGCAGGTACATCAGTCAGCCTGGTAGCACCCTACATGTGTGGATCCATACCCCTCCCTCTCCTTTGTCTGATAAGCACCTTTCTTTTTAGATGCTATTACTACCTCCTCAGGCAACAATTTGGAAAGGTTAAGAAAAACCTTTAAACGCTAATGAGCAGGTTGAATATCAGAGAAAGAGGGTTTTTCGTACGGAACAAAGACTGTGGGAACAGTGCAATATTTTACATGAAAGAAACCAATGGAAATGAGGCTTAACATAGGATGGTCAAAAACTCCACGTGTACTTGCCTGAGGTTTTGTGTTCGTCTTTCTTTTTTTTGTGTGTGTGTGTGTTTCATCTTGCCGTGCTAGCTAGCTGACTAGAAGAGGTACTTCTTATGATACTGTAGTGACTTAGAGAAGAGGCTCGAGGCATTTCAAAATGCTGTTTTGGGTTTTTGTTTTTTTTGTTTTTTGCTTTTTTTATTCACACAGCATGCTTGTAGATCCGAAAGGAAGAATTTGGGTTTTACCAAAGACTCAACAGCACAAGAAATAGAGGATCTGTCAAAAGACACACTACTGACTTTCCTCTTTGAATGCTGTCTCCAAGATGTAGCGTGGTGGTGTAGCGAACCAATTTCACACGATCTCCTTAGCCTTTTGCTGTGAGACAAAAGAAAAGAAAAGAAAAACTCCCGCTGCCACCAAATCCTAATGCTACGTGTATTGTGGGTATCTCTAGCTGTTACTATGAGGACCATGGTAGTGTTTGTTTTGTACTTTTCTAAAAAAAAAAAAAAAAAAGAAAGAAAGAAAAAAGAAGAAGAAGAAAACAATCAGAACATAGCAATACCATAATGTGCAGGAAGTGGAACTTTCTTCAGTTGCTCAGTAGTAGCTTGAAATAGACACAGATGTCCTGCACTGAATTGCATGTGCAGGCAGTCGAGTTAAGGTGTTTGAAAGCTGTAACAGATGTGTATTAATGTGAGTGTAGTTAGCTGTCTCATGTCTGTGAAACATCTTGTAGGTGAGACCTGTGTCTTTTCGAGCCCGGCTCTTTTTTTGAAAACGTGCGATTTTGATTATATTGACTCCTCCCCCCCCCCCCTTCGGTTTATTGCACTCACTTCAACACCTGTGCCTTTGCCTGAACAAACTGCAGTCAGATTGCCCCACCCCCAGCCCCTCCTCTCTGATCCCCACATTGAAGAAAAAACGATCGATGGCTCCATTACAGGACACTTCCTCAGACGTCCCCTTTGATATTTTCTTTGACCTTTGAACTTGCTATCTAAACAAGCGAGATTTGCACTTTACTCATATTTCTTATTGCTGATTTTTTTTCTTTCGTTTTTTTCTCATGATGGGAAAAAAAATCACAAATCTTTTGAAACACTAAGACTTTCGATGCAAACCTGTAAAATTACCCTTGTGATAAACTTTGGATAAGAAGTATTTCATGTTTTTTTTTTTTCCTGATTTGTTACTTGACTGTGTGAGCATGAGCACGTCTTTGTGTGTATGGATGCATGCGTGTGGATGTGTGTGTGTGTGTGTGAGGTTATAAAGAGGAACAGAAGGAGGGAGGAAGGAAGGAGAAGAAATGTTAGTTGAAGAAAGTTGTTTATTTATGTGGCTATTTATTTAAATAAAGTTCACTTCCTAAACATTTTCTTTTGTGGTCTGACTTCTTGTTAAACCGCAGGATGTGTTTTTTAACCCTCTCTATACTGTTTACATTTCTGTAGATGACTAATTTTTTTATTTAGATCTCTTTGATTCAAGATTACAGCTTAAACTTTGAGGTTAAACTCTCAGAGATTCAGAAAACACCTTCAGGCCATCAGGATGGAGAATGAACGTCTCTAGATCTGTCGCATTGCCTTGGAATTAAGCAACATTTAGTGGCTGCACACTCACTTTCTAACATTTCAATATTCATATACTAAACTAGAAGTGAAAAACAAACGTCTTAATCACAGAATCATTGACACTAAGATGCTTCACCCTCTTCCACTAACTGATGATGATGCATTAGCACCCCATCGTAATGGTGTGATGCACAGCGATGATGTCAACGATGACTGCATCGGGCCCTGATCAACCTCCTGCTGGTCGATTATTCATAAACATAAGACGGGATAGGGCTCTGATGTTTGACAGGAAGGGCTATGTGGGAGTCAAGCGACGAAACTGAAAAAGAGAAGCCAGAGCCTGCTGCCCGCCTCCACCCGTCCAGTCAAACCAGACAGAAAGAAAACAGAAAAAGGGGAAATGCGTGGATTTGCGGCTCGCTTCATGTGCAGATTTACACCATCTGGGGTCACTCACATTTACACGTGTAGCATATGGTTGGACATTTGGCATTTTGACTGTCGGGGAGCTGCTCGTGAGGGCTCAGCCTGAAAGGAACTGGATGTCCAGCTGCTACAAACACATCCGTCATCAGCTGCTGCCTGCTGCACAAGTGACTTTGTCTAATAAGATTTTTGCAACATGTTCACAGCAACTGTGTGACCATCTGCAGCATTTATGACGTGCGACCTCTGACTGCTGCTGTCAGAGGTCTTTCCAGTTAAAAAACTAGTTCTTCCTCACCACTGTCGCTACTGGAATTAAAGAGTTTTACATTACAATATAAGCTCGCTGTGAGATTACTGTTCTGATGAATTGCTGTTAAATAAATACAACTGAACTGGAGAACAATATAATTGTACCGGTAGTCATCTTCACTGGAGGTCGTTTTTTGTTTTTTTTTTATCTCAGGGCTCCGTCGTATCCAAACAAAGACATACTCAGTCTTGACATTAACTCTGATATTGTGCACTTACAGGGTTTCTTTGCACCGTTTATTCACCAGAGTCAAATTCCTCTTACCAGGAAGTGACACGACCGGCTTGAAAAGAATGAAACAGGTGGTTTGTGAAACAAAACCACTTATTGTTTTTTTTTGCTGCTTCACTTGGGGCTTGATGAACAGGTTTAACCAGCCTGTTACAACAAATTGTTTGTATAGGTTTCTGTTTATCGATAGGAGTAAGTAAAAGTCTGATGAATGCCTCAACACGTGTTGAGTCAGGCTGTACTGCATTGTGATTTCTTATAACTGGATGTAGTAATAATCTCGCTGGTAAATCAAGGAATTTCTATCTACATGTACGTGTGTATGTGTACGTGTGTCTCTGTCCCTCACCGATCTCAACAGTACATCTCTGGTGCAGTATGCTTCTCTCTGCTGTATTTTCCCAGTCCCCAAAGAGACAAGTGTTTATGCCTTGGGTTTTTCCATGCTTATACATGCACGATCACATTGGTCAATAGAATAGTCCCAATATGTAATGTCATGTTAGTAAAACTGAATACATAAAGTCATATGAAAAAACAACGCTTCCACAGTACTGAGTGCAGTCCTGTGAAAAATACTTACTGCTTACGTGGGATTTAAAGGGATAAGTAGCAGCCAGATGCTGATAATCAGCTATTGATTACAATTGATTATTGCTGAGTGTGAGCACCTCAAACACAGCAGAAAATCTGCAACAGAATGGCTGAAAAAGAAAATCAAGATGGAGCAATGGTTCAGTCAAAGTCCAGACCTCAACCTGACTAAAAACGCGTGACCTTAAAAAGCTGTGGATAGAAGAGTGGGCCAAAACTGTGTCACAACCAATAATCACTAAGTTTAGCTGTAGAAAAAGTCTACAGACATTGGATCGTGAAAACAGGAACTGTGGAAATCTCGACAGTTTACAAAGGAAATCACAACGACCAACACACCCAGGTAGGTAGTGAGATGAGATTTGTTACATGACTCTTTGCAAGTCATGTAAAGAGCACTTGGATCTCAGCTGCCAGCGACTAAGCGGCTGTCGACAGCTGAATCCTGAGATATGATCACATATCACATAGGCAGGTTTGAGCAGAACAGCATGTCTGCTTTTTTGCAATTTGGGTCAGCATGTCATCTGATACAAAACAAAAAAAATATTACTCCAAATGTGGAAGTACTTACGTTTTACATGTTTTAAATGGCCTTTGAATTATTCACATGTTAACAACAATATTAACAACAACGAAACAATGAAATAATGACAATGACTGTAATGTTATGTGTATATTGGTGATAGAGGTTCAGTTATGTATAGTGAAACAAAGGCACAAAGGGGGGAAGCTGTCCATAGAGGGCAAAACCATAGTAGTACCAGTCTCTAAATGGTATTTATTGTCATCTAGTTGGATATTTTAAAGATACCAGCACTGGTTTTACAGTCCATAGCTGCTTTGTACAATCATCAGCAGGCTGTTGGTGACCCTTGTTCAGGCTGCGGTTGGTGTGTTCAGCCTCTGCACGTGGAGAAGACAGGAATTATATTACACAAATAACTTCTTTAGAGTGAAGTGAAACTTGGTGTTAAAAATAATGAAAACCACCTCTCATGTTGCATTTTTGATCTTTGATGGGTGTTTTTCGTCTTCCTCTTTGTGGTGAATTCTGCTGTCACTTCCTTTTCTGTTCTAAATTTACAGACACCTGTACTCTGTCTACACATAATAGCCCTGCCATCAGGCTACACACACTTGGCTTTTTGGAGGGCAAACTCATTATTATTGACTCTGCATACAGTCATGT